TAGACCATTAAGAATAGAAACAAATACAATTATTAATTCTCAATTAAAATTACAAATGTACTAGTTTTATACGGATTAATTTATTTATTTTGGTATTTTCGCTTATGTTTTATGTATTGGGATTTTTTTTATTTAAACATGAAAAATCGAAATTTTTTTGACTAAATTTCGATTTGATTTCAATTATTAAAAAAATGGTAAAAATTGATTTGTTTCTTTTTAGAAAAAACATCAACATTTTAAAATGTTTTCAACCAAAATGCGATTTCAAATGTGAAATTGATAAAAAAATTCTTCAAAATAATTTTTCATCCAATCTTAATAATAAATTAATTATAAAAGAATATGCGAATGTTTTGATAGAGCATTATTCAAGAAATCATAATAATAAATATCAAAAATTTAAAGAACATGTTATTATTAGAAATGCAAATTATTATTTATATGATAGATTATATTTTGATAATAGAAATAATCTTCAATTAGCATATAATGGTATTAAAAAATCAGGAAGAAGACCGGCACCGTTGAGTCATGATGAAAAAAGAGCTAGAAATGTAATAGCTCAAAGACGTCACCGGGATAGAATACAAAAATATATGAATTCATTAGAAGAAGAATGTGAATTAAATAAAAATCTGGAAGAAAATGCGAAAAAAATGAAATTGGAAAATGAACATATGAAAAAAGAATTAGAAAATTATTTAAAACAAATTGAAGATTTGAAAAGAAATAATGAAATATTGAATAACGAAAATCGAAATTTAAATGAATCAATAACTGAATCGAATGAAGAAATACAAAAACTCAGTAAAAATTTAAAAGATTATCAAGATGCTAATAATGAATTTGTTGAATATAATAACGAAATGATGAAACAGATCGAAGAATTGAAAAAACAAATTAACAAACGTGATGAAGAATTAGATCGATTTAAAATTGAAAACGAAGAGTTGAGAAAACGAATTGTAACGAATAACGAAATGGTGATTGAAAATATCGAATTAACAAGTATTGATGAAAGTATCGGATTAACAAGTATTGATGAAAGTATTGAATTAACGAACGAAACGATTAATGAAGATTGGAAAATATTTCCATGCGATTTTAAACCGGTTTTTTATGGAGAAAGTATTGAAGAAAATAAAGATTTGTTAAATACTTCATTAGATATTAGTAATCCATATAATTTAGATAATCAAATTAATTTTGAAGAATTTACTAAAGCGATGAGGATGATGAATAGAATTAACAATGATCTATTTCAATTATAAATTATTTTATTAATTTATCATCTATTTATATTTATTTTTTTTTTCATATTTTTTTAAATTGTTTTTTTTTATTTTTATTCTTTTATTATATTAACATGAATAAACGAAAATTTGAATATAAATCTAATAATGATGAAATAAAAAAAATCAAAACTGATAATGTAAACTTAACAGAAGAACAAAAAAAAGTGGTTGATATAGTTTTAAAAGGTGAATCGATTTTTTATACAGGTTCTGCTGGAGTTGGAAAGAGTTATCTGTTAAGATATCTTATTAAAGAATTAAAATTAAAATATCCAGAAAAATATAATGTTGCGGTAACAGCCAGTACTTCGATTGCAGCTTTAAATATCAATGGTGTCACTATTCATAATTATTCTAATATTAGTATTATGAATAGGACAAAGGACGATATTATCAATAAAATAAGAAGTAATAAATTTTTCCAAAATCGGATAATTTATACTAAGATGTTAATTATCGATGAGATATCCATGTTAAGTTGTGACGCGTTTGATTTGATAAATGAAATTTTACAAGAAATTCGTGGAAATCAGAATCCATTTGGAGATGTTCAGTTGATTGTAACAGGTGATTTTTTTCAATTACCACCTATTCCAAATAAAGGAGACAAGAGAAGACCTTATGAGTTGTACATTTTTTTAAGTGAAATTTGGAATCGAACATTCCAACAACACATACTTTTAAAACAAGTTATTAGACAATCGGATGAGTTTGTAATAAATGGATTAAACAAATTGAGATTAGGAATTATTGAATCAGATTTTTTAAAATACATCAAAGGATTGGAACGGGAATTGATATGTGAAAAGATAATTGATTACTTTACTGAAGATGATGACAAATTTAAATGTAATTTATGCAATGAAAATATTTACATCAGAAATGGTGGGGCTTTGAAAAGACATTTTAGAAGTAAACATGATGGAATTATTAAAAATTATGATGATAAATACGAACCAATAATCTTATTTTCTGATAAGAAAGCTGCTAAATCGTATAATTATAATATATTACATTCTTTAAAAGGAAAAAGAATTTTAGAATTTTATTCAAATGATTGGAGTAT